AAAGCTCAGTTCGCACAGCGGGCAATAGGGTAACTGAAAAATAAAAATAGAACATGGACAAGTTCCCGGTATTCAAAGTAGAGCTCCGCTAAAACATAAATATGGAATAAAACGCAAAGTGTACTTACTGTAACAACGAAATATCGAAAGAGAACGAAAGACAAAGGCGCTTTATGTCCTAAGTAAAATATAATATACAACTAATATTGTTTTTTTTTACAGTTGAATTTGAACTTACAGTCGTCGGAGCAGCAGATGAAGTTCCACTCCGCCCAGGAGCAGCAGGCATTGATCTTCCAGATGCAGGAGCGTATGAAGGTGCTCTTGATGCACGGACAGGCATGGGTGCTTTTGGTGCGGGAGTAGAAAAGGTTGCTTTTGATGCCGAAGCAGATGAGGTCATTTTTCGTGTCGGAGCAGATGAGGCTGCTTTTAAAGCTGGGACAGACGAGATCGCACGTAGTCCAGGGGCAGCTGCAGGTGCTACAGGCGCTGGAGCAGATGAGATTGGCTTTTGCATTGAAATAGACGAGGTAACAACTGCTGCCGGAACAGATGAGGTTGCTCTTCGTACTGGAAGAGATGGCGTCGAGGCGCCGCTAGAAGCACCAGTTTTCACAGGTCCTTCGAGCACCTGAAATTTTTTCGTGATCAAGGAGTTACAAACGAAGGATGGATTTAGATGGGACAACAAAAATTGATATGTCAGAAGAAGTTCCATTAGAAAAAGTTATTCAAAAATTATTCTTCCGTTTGAAATAAGCCTTAATTTGTTTCATTTTCCCAGAAAATTCCTTCCTCTCCCTAAAAAAAAGGGATCTAGGAGAGATCACTTACCGTGAGATCACTTTTTTGTCGTGCAGCTTCGGCATGAGATAATTTTGTCCATACAAACATCGGAGTTATCTAAAAACACGCATGATCTAAATCCAACTGAAATCTACACTGTTTGCCAATTCATTCACAAACCTATAAAATCTTTGGATTGCACATGTTTCGTATATGTTAGATTATAGATAAAATCCCTCGCTATCATAAAGTAACGGCAATGCTAAAATTCAAGATTTTCTTGTTCAGGTCAAAAAGCTTTGCTGTCCAGCGCAGACTTGTTATTAAAAATTTCCAATGTTTTACTGTTTGTTATGTGCAAAAATCGTTATAATGTTCTGTTTGGTAAAAATTTCAAGCGTCCGCACGTGAGATTTAGAAATTTACGATTGTCCGCACGTGAGACTTAGAATTTCCTCTTGAAATTTACGATCGTTAGCACGTGAGATTCAGGCGTGTAGGAAAGATCAACTGAAAACCATGCGATCGCACATAGGCAGAAAACATACTCCTAAAATCTTAGCTTTCCATTTTTTTGTCTTCCGAATCAGCAATTTCCAAGCAAAAATTTTTACGAAGTCGAACGTGGAACGTAATCGTAACTGGGTTTAAAAGTTTTGGTTTCACGTGGACGAAAAACTTCCTAAAATTTCATAAAATTCTTCCCAAAATCTCAGCTTCCTAGCCTTTCTGGTTCCCAAACTAATAATTATATTAACAAAATTTTTATGTATCTGCACGTGATACCTAGGCGAACGTGGAAGATGAAGCTAAGATTTCTGGAGTCACAAATGCGCAAGAAACACAGTCCTAAAATTTCAGCTTTCTGTCTTGTTTAGTCCCGGAATTGAA